GAAAGAATGAGTGGGAAATTAAATTCTTCCCACTTGTGTCAGATCTGCCCTTATATAAACACATTAACAGTAATTTCATGAGGCGCCAAACATAGGAATAAATACTGAGGGATAAAATAATGAGGTGTTGCTATCAAGCTGAACTGTTGCAGCTAATATTACTGTGTATGAATTATGCAGCCTGAAAGAAGGCATATGTTACGGCACTCAAACAGTCGCTTTGCCAGCTTCTTCTCATCGTTAAGTTTTGGGTCCCCTAGGTGAATCCATCCCCCTTCCCGCTGCAAGGCCGGCGCAACATTTAAATAAACACACAGAAACACATACACACGCACACATGTACGTATGCACACTAAGCTGTTGGTAGGAGAGCAAATTAATTCCTGCTAGAATTCCAGTTAAGTCACTGAAGTTACACCAGAGGTTAATTTTGTTGAATGTTGAATAGACATTCAATTCCATTTTTAGAATAACAGCACATTTATTAAGGTCTTTGGCTGAAGTTTTGAAGTTACACTAATGTAAACAAGAACATTTTGTTTGTAATTTACCACATCTATTACAGCTTTACTAGGACTCCAATTAGAAACTTAAGGTTCATTTAGTACACACACATCTGGTACTGATTTAAAATGACTTTCCTTTTTCATCTGAGGACAGAAAATGGCCTAAGTAGCCTTTTTACCCAGTCTGAACCAGTGTTCTGTCTGAAAGCCAGAGCCTCGACCATTTAGCATGCTGAACCCTCTTTCCTGGGGGCTGTTTTTCTCCCCTTTGCAGTAAAAATGTGTGCAAAGGGCAAAGATGTACATAAATAAGCTATAAAAATGGGATGCACAGAAGTACAGTACTGACTAAGGAGAAAACAGTGTTTGTGATCTTAAGAGAGGAACTAGAAAAGCCACTGACAATATCCCTGCGCTATGGCTACAGCACTGAGGAGAAGGTATCTGAACATACCACTGCTACAGCTGCTTTCCATTCACAGGTTTATTAATCTGCACAGTTTTAGAAAATATTTACACTGAAAAATGAGGGAAATGCACAGTCCCTGCTTCTGATCATGTGTAATTATTGTACCCAATTCAGAGTCTGTGAAGAAACATGACAAAATCCACCATGACCACTGAAGTCCCTTTAAGTTCTAGATGCCTCCATGCAGATAGATTTGGACAAACGAAACGCAGGCACACACCTGTAAATGGTCCTCATACGCTCAGAAATTAATGGGAACAGTTATAGCATATGACCCCAACATGCAAATGTCTTCGTATGGTAAAATGAGAGTGGAAGTACACTGGTATCTGCTTTAATCTAAGAAACTGCAGTATCCTCATGGTAAGAGCATCAGAGTGTGATCCATTTTAAGTACAACTCCCCCCTAACTTCAGCAAGGCACCCACCATCATCTAGTTCATAATAACGTTTTCTTTACCTGTCATGCCAATCCTATTTTCTCAAACATTTTCCTAGTTTCTTCACAGTTAGAAAAACCTATGCGGTTCTTGCACAAACCCTTTCAAGCTACAGTCCAGTATGTCAGGTTATCAAACTTTTCTTGCAAAGGCTTGGACATACATATATTGCCCCTAGGTCGTTACTGTACTGAACTTCAATACCTTTATTTATTCCGTGGTCAGTCTTCAGGAATAAACAAGAGGAATTCTATGCATTTCAGACAAAGCTGGCCCAGGTCATAGAAACAAAGATGATTTCATTTGGGTATGAAAACATGAGGTTATTCTTCTTTTGCAATAGCTCCATTATGTTCTACTTTCTGACTCATTTATATTTACTATTTAAATACTAAAAGGAGTTCCAATTGAGGAAACATAATTTGGAAACATAATTCTCTTTAAATTCCAGAATAAGCATTAGCTTCCAAAACATAAAAGCCAGAAGCTTTATGATAATTGAATCCTTTTCAGCAAGTATAATTAATCAATAAAATATTCCTCTAATGATGTTATTGTTTCTTTATTTAACTGTTTTTGAATTTCTGAAGCTTCTTCAATGCCAAGTTCCAAATGCTACATTAATCATTTGTATTTTTAGAGTTCAGTTTTCCTACGGGAGACGTAAGTTTCCTAACAGTTACTAATGCTCTGGATCTGAAAAATTAGGCCTTTAAAATACAGACTATCTAGTCAGTTAAGATGTCTTGTAATCATTACTTTGTACTATTAGATCCCTAATGGAATAAAGAATGAGTTTAAATTTATTCTAGAAAATAGGATTGCCAATTTTTTAAAATAGGGACTATCTTTTATTCTTTTTGTACAGTGCTAGATTAGAAAGGCACTGGGCCTGGAGTTTTAACAATGTGCTTAATAGATGATAATGAATAGGCAAAATGAGCAACAAAGATACGCTAACCCAAACTCTTTGAATAACGGGCTCAGAAATCTAGTTGCAGCCATTTTTTCATGGATGCGTCATGTGGATTCCATAACACATCATTCCACTGTGTTCCAACTTAAACTACGGACAACGGAGATAAGGAAAATGAATTTTGTTCTGATGTTCCAGTGTAGGACTTATTCAACTATTGCTTTCAACCACGAATAGGAAATCCAAGTTAAAGCTGGAAATTTAGGGTTTTATGCACTTTTCTTAATCAGAATTCTGTTGAAAGACCTCAGTTTTCTGCGTGTAGTACTAACATGACAAGCTCAAAGGAAACGTGCATTTGATAGTCTTTTATGTTTACTTCCATTATACAGTCTTGGACTATTATTCACAAAGTTGTTTTCTGCGTTGTAAGCGGAGCAAATATTATGGAAGGAAAAACTGCACCACTGCAACAGCCACAAATTAAGGGTCATTATGAAAAATGGTGAGGAAAACCAAGCACGAGATGTGGCTAAATAAATAATTTTTGCTTGGTGTCATCACTAGAGAGATGTAAGATTAACTAGAGAGGCAGGCTCTTGAGAAGTCCAGGTCTCTGCACTTCACCATTTCAGGAAAACTGGGATCCACAATCCCACAGGCAAGCCAGATGGGTCCAAGATACAGACCTAACTACTTGGAGCACTCCTGAGGTATGCGTTTAGATGTACAGATTTCAACAAGGGGAGTGATTCTGGGCAAAGACCTTTCTTTGGAGTAGGAACCAATTTAAGGTAGAGTCTTAATTACCACAGTCTATAGTTTCTCAGCTTTGGCCGGAGGTCCTGGCCAAGCACAACAGGGACAGCAGGCTGCTCTTGTACGCCTGGGCGGTGTCCTGAGCAGTGGCTACTCCTGGTGCGGCTCAGCACTGACCCTCCTGCCAGCTGTTGGGTACGTGGGACAAGGAGGAATGGCATCAAAACCTCTTGCTTGTGAACTTAACCAAAAGTGTAGTATGCATTTTTCCTGAGTCAAAAGTGAAGATCCATCATCATGTCCCAAAAAAGTACTGTTTGACAATGACAGACCTGCTGTACTGGGAACCTCTAAATAGCCTGTCAGATCTAGGGTGTAACTTTGGCCTTTGCTGGGCGTATTAAAAAAGGGAGAAAAAAGAGACACAGCACAACCAAATAACCCTAATGTGCCAGGTCAAGTGACTTCTCTGATGCCTGTATTCAAAGCAAGTTACCTTTCCTCCAGCTAAACCTTCCAAATGCTGACCTTACTCAACGGTGGATACTGGACATAAGCTTTTTTTTCCCCTAGTTAGTCAATGAGTGTCAAACCTTGATTCCTATCAAACCTTGATTCTTATCAAACTGTTATCTTTAACAGGGATCTAGATGCATCTACACCATCCAGTTACTAGCAAAGTAAACCATTTTTTTTCAAGTCCAAATGATTTTGCCTACCAACCCTCCCCCCCAATTTTCCTTTTATTTCTTAGCCTTATTAACTCTAATTTTATAATAATATGCTCAGTGTGAATGAATGAGATGCAGTTTTGCCCCAGTAATTTGCTTCTCTCTGTGCTGACGTCAACCCCCACCCAGGTCTCCTGCAGCCAATACAACTCTCACTCAGAATATCCTTTCCCTCCGTATCTGTTTGTTTCTTAAAGTTCCCCTTTCTGTATCTACTCAATCCATTGTGTTGGCAGTTAGGAAGGACGCAACCAGTAACAACAGAAAAGCAACGGTATGCTAGAGTGAGGATGAACGGTATTTGCCAGCTGTCACCACATGAATTTGATGAACTTCCAGAGCTGCCCACTTTTACGGAGCATCTGACTGACTCGGAAGGATCGCTGCAAAGGTTCAGATCCAGTTCTGCTGACCTCATTGAAGAACCAAGGCCTTTCCATGGAAGATGGAAGTGACTATGGGGTGTGATTTCCACAGCCCACATCTATACTGGAGGACACCCCAGAACATTGTCAACCTGCCAGGATCCACCCTAGGTCACTTCGGGTCAACACATCTCTAATTCCTTTCATAAAAGCCAGCAAAGATGCGAGCCCAGCTCCCCTTCTGGCACTGTGGGGCAGGGAAACATCTGCAACCAGGAGCTTGGACATACGTCAGGTCCCACCACACAGATATAATTTTTGGCAGCAAGGTCCTGTTATACCACACTGTCACAAGCAGGGCAATGTCATCATAAAATCTTAGGCCTGCCAATTTTGGCATAAACCAATTCTAAATAGAATCCTAAAGCTTGTGTCACATCCCAAAACTAAAAAGAAAACCCCCTCTTTTAGTGATTTCATACAGAATAAATGAAACGATACTCTCCTTATCTCCGTCTCTTTAAATCATATTCCTGAGATGGCACATATTCAAGTTTCATCCTGCCAAACAAAAGAATCTGCCAACAGTGCTTAGATGACTCTGATAACGCTTCCCTGAAACAAAGCCTCTGAGCTACAGCACATTTTGTACCTGTTTTTGTTCTTCTCCTAAGCCGTCCCACATTGAAGCTACGATTTTAGAGACTTCACCAAAAGTAGCATTGGGGTTTTGGCCCTTGATAGCTGCTTGAGTGTCTCGAAAGAATAATGCATAGGCAGACACAGGCTTCTGTGGCTCGTTTGGGTCCTTCTTCTTCTTCTTTTTGGGAGTTTTGGGTTTCTTCCCCATATCTGAAGCAGGTCTCTTCTCTCCACCATTGACCTGTAAAATAAAATTAGAAGAGTACTACACAAAAGCCTATTTAATTCAATCCATCCATCATTACAGCTTCTGTGATACACAGAATTTCGGATTTTGCATGCAAAAATGGAATCTGAGTTGACATCTTTGATAATCCAAATGTTGACACGACCTGATTGAGATGTATAAAATTTGTAAGTATTCCAGATTATGTAACTTTTTCTTTTGAAGTGCTTTATATTTTGCTTTCACATAATTGTTACAATCTCCTTTATAGTTCATCTGGTCACCTTTTAGCTTCTTCTGAATTTTACTCCTAATGGCTATAATGAGTAAATTCAAATGAAATTAGTTTCATTATAGGCTGACCACCAGTTCAAGCACATGAGCCACCTGCGGACAGCAGGAACACTGTCATTTCTACCTTTTCCTTACCCTCACCCTTTCCCAGAACTACCCCAACTAGTGTTCAAATCAATTCCGACGGCAACTGGTGGGACACCTTCCAGTGAATTTGAAGAGAATCTGATTGTGAATGAAATGATTCAAGTTACAGTCATTCCTCTGCACACCTTCCAATTAAAATCCAAAGAAATGAAGCTTTACTAGCACACACAGTTTAGACCCCTTTGGAGGATCAGTTCTGATCCATCTGGATTTAGCTGCATGCTTTTTTCTTCTCCTCATGTAAAAGCAAATGGTTTGAGGAAACAAATGGTTTGAGGAGTGACAGAGTATAGGAGGAAAAGCGCACGTGCGTTATCTGTGTGCCATCTGAAAAAAACCTGCACATCAGTGTTTGTGGAAATTTGTTAAATGCAACTACGCTTTGTCACTGACTAGCTCAGAGACCCTGATCACCAAAGCAGCCTACTCTCCTAGGTGACCTACAAGCACATAAAGGGACACTGTCCTGATTCTCCAACAGATCGGAGCTCCGTGGCAAAGCAGCTTCTCTTGATGTGAGCACTTCATTCACTGTACCTGTAGCAATGACATGTGGCCTTACCAGAGGGCTCAAGGGTTTTTTTCTGTCATGGCCAGGGTACTGTGCATCATAAGGGTTTTGAGGTATGAGAAGATGAAGAACATAAAAGGTGTGCTCTAGGCTAAGGATCTACTAGGCATGACTTCTATCACATCTTTCTATCATTTTTTAATAATGCATATCAAGCAACACAGAAGAACACAGGTGTTCAAATCAGTGGAACTGCATGAGGAAAATGTCTGAAAATTCTCATTTTTGAGCAAACTTTTTTATTTTTCTATAGACATCACTGTGTGGTGTCCAACATGGCCCAGGTGACCACAGTGAACAACATGGATCTCTGTGGCTTGCTGTGGCAACAAAGTGATGACCACAGTTTGAAAAGGAAGTTGCTTCTGTCCTGAGCATTATGGTGCAACAGATCCACCTTTAATACACGGCTAACGGACATGCAGCCTATCGGCAGCATTTGGAAAACACGGAAAACCAGAAGCAGGGTGCTACGCATTATTAAGTCATCCAACTTCTGGTCTCCTGACATTATTTCATTCTACAGGGTACAGAGAACTACCAGCTAAATGGTAATTAACTGGAGCTCCCTAGTTAATTTGGCAATATCAGCCTAAACTCTTCAGATAGTTCTGTGCAAAGTCCATGAGCAAGGAGGCTGGACAATAATTTTGGCTGTAGTTAGAATTTTACCTCTACAATTTGCTAAAGTTTTCCTCTTTTCAGAGTATTTTTGGACCAATGACATTTAAGAGTTCTCTGTGTATTAGGATACCACATGACTTAAACTACCCTTAAACTAGGTGATATGCTGCAGAAACTTGCGTAAGAGGTTCTGTGAAGCTGTTCTGAGAACAGCTCTGAAATCTCATTCTCCAACCTGAATGATCAAGAGACTTCAAAAACCCACTGTTAAAAAGAGAGTACTCACAGGGGAAATTCTGTTTGTCTTATATGAAAATAACGAAATAAAAAGAATACCAGAATTCCAGTGCTAATAACCTTGCAAATGGCTGAGATGATGGCCTACCTTATGCTCCCATCAGTCTATCAGCTTCATAGACTCCACTTCTAACCACCAAAGCAGAGACAGATGGGAAGTAAAATAAAACCCATATATATTCTTCCAGGCATAGACTTGTGCCTCAAAATCCCTGGAGGTGTAGTTAGCTCATGGTAATCCACCTCCTGTCATGGCTTATTGCTTAATTATGGTGATGTATTTAACTTATTTATCACAAGAAAGCAATAATCTTTCACTTTAAAAAAGTGTACATTAACCATGTTGCACACATAATAGATCACAAGAATATCTAGTGTAGGATTTAAAACTATCAAGTAAGGCACATCGTTGATATCTAAATGTCCCTTGAGAAGCTGGAAAATGTCTATAAGCATATTTAAAATAAACTGCAATAGTACCAAAGCTTTTAATGGAGCTAGGAGAGCTGTTTTATGCACACTATCTTGCAGTAATCGCTGTAGTTTAAAATAGATTTTAATCAAGCACCATCTGCATAATAGGCTGAACAGACAACATAGGATTCTACTTATAACTCTTATCATATAAAGTAAATATTGTAAAACCTCTACCACATAAAGAGAATATGCTGCAGCAGTTCCTCAGGAATCGAGTTTCTGTTAGTTAATTCTTGCTACTTGCAGTCCTCTCACTATTTCCCTCCGAAATACACTATTTGAAATTCTCTCGTAAGTGATATTCAAATGAGCACGGAAGAAAACCCTGTTACCCGTCTACGAAGAAATACATATTTGCAAATCAGTAACGCTTCCAGCAGCTCACAATTATGCTTGGCAACAACCAAATACGTGTTTAATGATCCAACAGTACGAATTATGGCAAGAATTATATAAATGCAATATTCCAGTGCTGAGGTGGTCAGAATAAAGCATATGGTAAGTGGCCACTTTGTTTAGAATGTTTTTCTAGTTACTTACAACTGTCAATTTTTAAGTTCCTTTTTTCTTCTTCTAACCATAGTCCAACATACTAGATTTAGAAGAATTAAGGAGACTTAGGGAGGTAAACCACTTGCAGAAACAATATCCTTCATCAGGGATTACATTTCATATTTCCACGGACCTAGCCGCTTGCTGCCTGTACATATGCAGCCTTACAATTTGCTGCTGTGGTCACTGATCTTATGGTCAAGCAACCTCAGCTGTCTTGCTTTCAGAGCAACAGTGTGTAGGGCAACTGAGCCCTCTACAATGCAGCTCCCTTCCCTCTTTTGTGCAAAGGAATACACGACGTTTAAAGTCCAAAAGGCCTATATGAAAGAGCCTTTATGAGAACAAGTATTGCCCAAATGTATTCAGTGGCTGCTGCCGTTAGTTCTGTGTATGTTGGATAAGGCTTACAAAAATTTGAATATTTACCACGGAATGAACATCCAAGAAGCTCCGTACATGAACAATTACATCAGTTTGTAAAGCTTCCTTATTACTGACATTTAGAATATGTACATTAAGCTGAAATGGTAATGTCCTCCATGCAAGGAAATCAGTGGTTCACTAGGGATACAACTATATTTCTAGTCCAAATGTGTGACGTACGTATTTGTTCATAACTCCTGTCTTCCTCTTTCTAGAAATGCATGCAAACATGAACAGGACACCGAAATGCGTCTATTTTTTTCTCTAGAAACGGGTATAGTTGTTAGGGATTTCTCTACCAGATCTGCTATCAAAGGACCAGTGGCTTCTCTTTCACATGTAATGCTGGGCATTCAGCTCGTATAAACCAAGGGAGGTCATCTGACACAGAGGTGATTTTCCATTTGAAAACGTGATTTGTATTTTTGATCAATGTTGGTACACAGGCAAACAACTTCTCCTGCTGGTTAAATAGGGAGAACATCACCGTTGCTATTAACAATACGGTGGATTCAGAGGGAGTTGTTTTTTACACGGTCCTCACGGCAGGAACAGCTTACTGACTTCATGAGGCTGCTCAGACGTGGCGAGCTCCGGCAGCTACAACATGACTGCGGCATGTGTGCTTCTGCTGAAGGACAGACTAACGAGTTCTGGCCCTGCTTTATTAAGTAATGCCACACATCTACATGCCAGTTTATAAAACAAAGAGAAAAGCCAAAATCTAGCAAAGCTGCATTCAGATCAAAGATAGAGATTCTCACAAGAGACTGAATGGCCACTCTATCTCTTCCTGTCCCCACCCAGTGCCTTCTTTCGCTGGGGGGAGGATTTCTGGAGCAAGAAGAACACTCACAGGCCCCTCCAAAGCAGCTCTGAGAAAACATAATATTGCTGTGGCTGGGGAGGAAGATCTCCACAGAAAGCTGGTTTCCTCAAAGTATCCGTATCCATTCATCGGCAGCTTCCAGGGAGAGCCACAGGACGGACAGATGCACAGCGGGGGGCTTTAGGTCATAACCAACCACAGCACACTAACTTCGACGCTGATTATTCAAACCCTCTTGTCCTTTACAGAGGGAACTACAGCAGAACCACTACTCTGGATCAGGCAGGCCAGCCCACTGCCTGTCTCCAATGGTGGCCAACTTCAGGCATTTTCACGAAGACCTAAGAAATCCCACAGAAGGCAGGTATGGCATAGTCTGCCCCCCATCAAGCCTGCAGTTTGAACCGTACTAGCTGGAGACGAATTTAAGCCTTCTGTCATTATTAACCAAATTTAATATCCTTCACAACTTTTCTCTTAGCAGGGAAATTATCATTACTGAATTTTAAGGCAATGTACCAACTTTGGCCTACTGAATTTAATTTTGTGTTGTGCCTTTCCTGTCTTTTTCTGCTTAGACTGAGCATGAGAGAATTTTAAAGAGAGTCTTCCAAAATAACATGGCTTGTTAAGAAGCTGAACACTATATAAACTGCCTTCCACAAAGAAAGGACCAATTTTTACTTGGTCTGCAGTGCTTAGTATTTCTTTATTAAAAACATTAGCCTTAGATGAGTACCGTCTGCAGGAAACCACAACCCTACACTTTTGCTAGCACAAAGTGTTGCAGTGAAAAAGTAAAGAAAAATATGGGTTAAATAACTGAAATATTTGTCAGAAGCAGAAAGGATATCTTAATTATTTGAGTGGAGGTTTTCTCCAGAAGTTTAAAGCATCTTGCACACTCCCACCAGTATATGTAAAAATATTAGCAAAGCAACAGGAGTAGCAAATAAATTATTCTGAAAAAGTAAAGGCTGCCTGGAATTATTTTTACATAGCTGTATTCTAAAGTCCCCCTCAGTAAGGAAGTGCTCATTTAAAATGTATGAATTATTCAGTAATCTTTAAAACCTAAAGTTTGTGAAATGAGGGGAAAGTCCTGAAATAAAACTTTTGAATCAGAATTTATTCAGAATGTAGTAAAACATACGTCTCCAATTACATGATTATTTTATAGCTTGAGGCACGAAAAACAATATAATTTGAAAACAAATCAGACTTACATTTCTTGACTGGATTACACCTCCTCAGTGACTCACAATGTTTTCTTCGTATTCCTTGCAAGTCTGCCACTTTTCCCCACAAGACATGGCCACAGTACACTACATGGCACACGCTACGCTGCAGGACTGCTCTAACAGGGCTGCTGTTTTGTAGTGACCATAAAACAGAGCTAGAGAGGTTCTCAACTGCAGCACGCTCTATTCCTGGTTTGTGGGATGACTTTGTGCTAAGCCCCAATCTTTTTGTGCCTCAGCTTTTGTGTGTGCAAAATTAAGATAATAAACTTGTGTATTTTTTGGGAGGCCTTCAGGATTTTGAGAGGTTTGGAAGGGTTTTTTGCATGCAAAACCTGCTATAGAAATTGACGTTTATCTTTAAAGAAATGTATTATGTAAATGACTATTATTACTTCATGCCTGTACTGACATTAAAATTAAGCTTAAACATGTCACAATGGAGTGTTGGCACCTCCCAAAGTATAAATGCATAATGGGTCTTCAAGATTATCAAGGTAAGATTTTTAAAGTTCGCAGAAGATCCTTCTGTTCTGGTTGCTTTGATGTTCTGTTTACCCATCCTGTGACCAAGCAGCAAAGACTCGTGTATCGTACAGACTGTTCATACCTTTTATAGCAGTAATTTGATCTTTAACGGGGAACAAACGTCCCTTCCATGCAAGTGAGAAAACTCAATCTTTATATTAAAGTCTTAAAGGAACGGCTTATCCTTTGAGTGTTTTACAGGATTCCAGTTTGCTCTCAGGAAGAGGAATGATCTCATTTGCTCAAGCTGCCTGCAGAATTGACTGGAAACTGTAAGTTCTGTATTCATAACCCTTTGTTCACTTCAGTCAACCCCCAACAGTGTATAAAGTATCACCTTAATAACTGTGGCCATACGTTTCATTTAGCAGGTCCTAAAAATATCCACCATTTACACAGTAATCCTAGCATCTAAGCCTACCTTAGAGCTATCTTCTCCTTCATCTTCATGGACTGAACTGGATGGTGAAGGAGTTGCAGATTTGCTTCCAGGTGGAGAGGGCGAGTTGTGAGGAACACTGTTTCCACCCATATTCAAACCAAGCTGTGCACTGAGCTGGGACTGGTTAATAGTAGTCAGCTGCCCGTGCTGCATCATTCCTGGCTGCCTAATATCTGCAGGTTGAACCCTTGGCCTCATGGTTGCCATCTGAGGATGGGAACTATACTGGGCTCCTTCTGTATTCCGTAAATCTTGCATCTACAAGAGGAAAAAAACTGTATTAAGCATATCGCTAATAAAGTGTTCTGTTCCTTTAGACCTCGGTGGGCCTGATCGGCTACATAAGGCTTAAAAGAAATGGCAAGTACTTAAATAAACATGTAAATACTGGAAATAAACAGAGTAAGGATATGATTGACATTTGCATAACGCTGACTGTTATACACTATTCAGGCTCCAGCCTCAGCCCGTGGGAATAGCAAAAAGCAATGAAAGCTCGTTTCTGTATAGGGGGAACAAAAGGGTACTGCTTTCTGTAACTGTGTGTAGGGTATTTCAGAAATGCTAATGGACAGGGACAGGTTTGCACTCTGAAGTTCAGAATCAGATCAGAACACGAATATCCTCAAAATTCAAGACAATTTCCAGATCCTACTTCTTGTGTGTGTGTGAGCTGTGAATTTGGGAGCTGCATTTTTCAGAGTTTGAGTATCTAGTATTAGGTCCAAATCTATTTTGCCTGGTGCTGCCCAATGAGATACTGGAATTTTCAGGCTTCAGACGACTGACAAGAAGGATGCATTGATAGACTGATTAAATGATTTCTGAGTTGATTTGCTGCTAAGACATACATGAACAGAAAGCTCGGAAATCGTGGGATTGACAAATGAATCCATTGTGCTATGTGGGTCACCGCTTCTTAGCATTAACGAGACATACTATTTTAATGCAAGCAACAAATTCAGTCTCTGCAAGGATAAGAATTAAAAGCACTGGAGGATGAAACTCCTTTCTTGTCCAGAGGTCAAATGCACCACACACACACATACACACTACAGCAGACTGCCTGCAACATCTTTTCAGTATACTCATAGGGAAACATGACAAATAGCAAACAGTACCAGGGAGAAGCTCAGATTTAAGCTAAGGTGTTCTGTGGGTGATTTAAAATTGAAGTGTCAATTCAGAACTGAAACGAAACAGATATAGTTGTCTTTCTGTGCATCCAACAAACATGCCGTATGTATCGAGTGGAATCTGACAGGAACTACCACGGTGTAAGTTCCATTATGATAAGGACATGTGTTAATGGTTCAATATATTAACATAACCACATTTATTCTACTGACAGTCTTTGTTAGACATATCATCTGAATTGTCTAAAGATCAGATTTTTTCTTTTAAACTTTTTATAGCTCTGACTGCTATAACCTCTTTCATACACACTCTTATATATCACCACAATCTGTAAGATACCTTTCAACCAGTAACACACTGAAAAAGAAACGATAAACCTGTAACTTCACTTTTTCTCTTATTATTGATAGTGTAAGAATTTATCAATTTTAGGGAGGTACTTTATGAGCTTGGGGATTGATTTTTGTAAAGCCGACTGGTTGGCAGTAAATCAAACTAATAATACCATTAGTTATGGCATACTTACCACTTTACATGTACGTGTGCCTCTGAAAAGTATTTGAAATGGCTTCTGACAATGTGACATCACAATTATACCTGTATTTATATTGCTTTAGAAATTAATAGCTTTTGGTAAAAAAGGTTTATCGACACAAGCATGTTCAAGTTCATTTAATGGCTACTACAGCACTAGAGGAGAGGAGCAGAGACAGAGCAGCGTGTGAAATCAATTGAAGGCTGAAATTTGAATCCTGGCAGCCATTTGTATTTTTAAAGATCGCTACTGACCGCTTCTTGTTCCCTTCCCTGCGCTATCAGCTCCCCTCTGCCTCTGGCAGAGAACCATATCAAACCAGTTGTGCCCATGAAGCTGTAACTGCTGCTCGGCCCTTTTGCTCCGGATCCAGCTGTTGGGCTGGGCAGCGGCCGGGAGCGGGAGCGTGGGCTGCCCCAGGCCCTCCCGGGGGATGGAAACCCACCAGCCCCTTGCGTGCTGGGTAGAGGGAGGCGAAACCCTCCCAAAGGCTCTCCCTTCACCCCATCTGCGTGGCTGCGTTCCCCCCTCCCCGGGGCCGAGGCCGTGCTGCCCCGCATGTGAGCGCCTCGGGTTTTCGTGGGGCAGCACCTCGTGGTCCCGGGTCGGGGCTGGGGAGAAACCCCCTCACAGAAGGCTGGAAAAGCAAGACCCCTTTTAAAATAAGAATGTGCATCCTCATGATGTATGAACTCGAGAAAGGAAACAAGCACTATTTGAAACTCCTGACAACTCTTATTTTGAACGAATGTGCAGTGTCTGCCTCTGAAAGCAGGGCAAAGGTTATAATTTTAATTACTTTTCCCCAAGTAAAATATAATACAGTTGCTATTATTCAAGCAATCTCTCCTTATTAAAAACTGTTCATATGAGCTTCAAACACTATCAGATACTGCAGAACGTTCTGTGCTTGTTGTCTTTAAACAACATATATTTTTAAACAGTCTGTGATTCACTTTCAGCTCCAGTGCTGAACATACACTGTGTTTTCAGACAACATGACACCGACTGGACAGTACTGGATGTATCCCTATACAAAACGTGTGTCTGTATATCTATCTATATATATTTGCAAGAGAATCCTTCATTTATGAAATTCTGAGGACTGCAAAATGCAAAATCCTGTGCAGTAGGAAAAAACCCCAGTGTTTTTCTTTTCACACAAATTCATCTCCTTTTGTGAATATTTACATCAGATGAACAGCAGGCTACCTTTACACAACCAGGCATAAGCAGCAAGTAAGTTTGTTTAAGAGTACATATTCGGTTTTAGATGCTAAGCCAGAACCCCTCACCTAAGGGATCTGCCTGCAGAGAACATGCCGGTGGAAGTCCGTGGCCCAGAGCTGTGGCCCTCAGCAAGGAGGATCCCCATCTGCAGATGAGGTTTCTGGCTCACCTCCCTGCCACGCACCGCAGAGCCTGCCTTCCCTCATGCTGCCCCTTCCCAGTGAAAAACTGGGATTGTCTAAGAAAATGGGAACTGTTCATTCCCTGAGCGAGAACGGGCAGCTAACGACGCAACTGTGAGGAGCTCTGAGATTACGCCCTGGAAAACACATGATGATGAACCTTCGGGTTCCTAAAAGATCAACAAACCCAGAACTGTCCCACCATCTTCCCTGTTGGGTTCGAGACCAGTCCCAACGATGAAAACCACACGCTGCTGGGGTGTGACCGCATGCCCCCGTTTCAAACACCGCAACGACCTCTTCTCTGCAGGAACAGCGGCACTCATCAGGCACACGCTCTGTCACCATTATGCGCAGAGTATGACCATTTCTTTTAAACTACTTCAAAATCAGAAGTTTCCTATTCCTTGCTCCTCCAGATGGAGTTTTACAAAACCCACCAACGTGTGGCTGTGCTGGAGCCACGTTCAGTATGCAGAAGCAATATTGCGAACACTCTCCTGCCGAACGCAACACTGAATACAAATCCCGCCGGGTGGCAGAACGCCAAATGGAAGAACAAAGTTAAAGAGTTTGAGTGTTACAGAGGATAAGGACAGTCTTAAACTCACGCCTTCAATGGTCTCTCTGGTGAGGTAATAATGATAATATCTGGCACTTCAATATCATTCCCCATCTGTCAGTTCCAGGATGTTTTGCAACTTGTGTTATATCCAGCTTTAGAACATGCCTGGTTTTATTTTGGTTTTACTAATGGGGAAGCTATGACACATTTCTTTTCGTGGCTATTTTTTTTTTCTTTTCTGTTTGCATTTCGCTTATAAGCAGAAACTGAGCATCCACCCATCAAAGTGTCTGACTGCAAGTTAAAAGACACCGGTAAAAGCCACCATCTCCGAGGTGTGTACCGATAACCCTTCTTGGCACACGTTTGGTGCAAAACCAGAACAGGTCTGTCTGGCTGAAAACAAGCTTCTAATGCCCTGCTCAAAGCTCCTAAGGTGCTAAGAATAAAGCTGAAGTGCTTTAAACATCAGAACACCATTCTCCCCATCAGCTTAAAGGAAAAGCAAAGCAAAGAATGCAACGCAACATACAGTGATAGCATCCCCACGCAGAAACATCTTACTGCAGGACAATGGCAGTGCAGTATCCTCATCACAGAATCACAGAAAATAGTGCTAGAAGGGACCTCAAAAGGTTATTTAGTCCAACACTTTATCTCACAGCAGGATTAGCTACACCTAAATCATTTCTGACAGATGTTTGTCTAACCTCTTCATAACCTCCCTAGGCAATTCTTGTGCTTAACTATCCTTACAGTGGAAAGGGCTTTTTTCCTGTAATGTCTCACCTAAATCTCCTTTGTTGTAATTTAAACCTACTACTTTTTGCTCTGCTCCCAGTGGACATGAGGAATGTTTTTCTCCTCCTTTACAGAAAAGTTGTACGCACTAGAAGGCTATTATGAATTTCTTTTCGTTTTTTTTCTTCTTTAGACTAAACAACTAAACCTGAAGATTGAAAGACTGTTTTCATATGCTGTGTTTTCTGCACCTCTGATCATTCCTCCTGCTGTCCTCTGGACTATGTCCAATAACCTTCATCTTTCTTGAAATATTGTGCCCCGAAGTCCACAACATACAGATAGTCTTACCTGACACAGCATTCAGATAGGACCCCTCATCTCTCACAGGATATAGCACATAGCCTTAAAAAAATACCTAATTATCTGTCTTTTTGATGCCAGCTGGTTAACCCATGCAAGACACAGAAAGAGTCAAATTGCAGGACTCTTAACTGATGTCCCAGAAGGTGGCTTTGGGAAGCCAATAATGTTGTTTTAAGAAGCATTAGGCAGGTAGTTTCAAAAGGAATGTGCTGCTAGCAAAGCAATTCCCACGCTATTTTTCGTGTTATAATTAAGACCTGTGATGGAACATCTCTCTGAAAAGCTGTGAAAGTCCTAACTGTCCCTTCCTATTTAGATTAACTTATAATAAATATTATCATCAAATGAAAGACGAAAGACAGGTTGCCTTAATAAATACAACAGTTCTAAGTATATGCAACAAACACCAGGGATTATACACTGGAGATGAAAACATTAAAACACAAGGAGAAATACCCAGGGCTTACTCACTGAAGCAAGTGGTGATCACATACCTCACTAC